GCTGTATTTGCTGTGATTGACAATAATTAGTATGATAGCACTTAACATTTATTGAGCACTTAGTATGTCCCAGACTTTAAAAATAGCTTTTACAGGGCCGGCCTGGTGGCGCATGGGAGAGTGCGCCGCTTGGGAGCGCGGAGGCGCTCCCGCTGAGGGTTCGGATCCTATATGGAGACCAGTTCCCGCTCACTGGCTGAGCGCAGTGCGGGCGCAACACCGAGGGTTGCGATCCCGTTGCCAGTCCCGGTACAGGCACGACACCGAGGGTTGCGATCCCGTTGCCGGTCCCCAGTATGGGCGCGACACTGAGGGTTGCGATCCCGTTACCGGTCAGTAAAAAAGACAAAAAGGAAAAAAAAATTGCTTTTACAGAAAGGAAAAGGCTTGGAAAACCTATTCGATGAAATAATAATGGAAAACTTCCCAGGTATAGGGATAGACACAGACCTTCAGATCTAGGAGGCTCAAAGATCCCCAAACAGATTCAACCCAAAAAGATCCCCTCCAAGACACATTATAGTCAAACTGGCAAAGGTCAAAGACAAAAAAAGAATCCTAAAAGAAGCAAGAGAAAAGTGTCAAGTCACCTTTAAGGGAACCCCTAAGCAGACTTCTCAACAGAAACTCTACAGGCCAGAAGAAAATGGGATGATATATTGAAAATACTAAAAGAAAAAAAACTGCCAGCCAAGAATACTATACCCAGCAAGGCCATCCTTCAGAAATGAGGGGGGAAAGTATATTTTCCAGACAAACAAAAACTGTGGGAGTTCACTACCACATGACTAGCCCTACAAAAAATCCTCAAAGAAGTCCTGCACCTGGAATCCAAAAAACAATAATCGCTACCATGAATACACAAGAAAGAACAAAACCCACTGGTAGAACAAAAATGCACATGAGGAAGATAAACTAAACCTTACACCACAAAAAACTATAATGACGGGCTGGCCCGTGGCTCACTCGGTAGAGTGCGGTGCTGATAACACCAAGGCCATGGGTTC